AGCACCATTTTCAGCACCGACATGCAGCCTAACTGTTACATGCAATTTGATCTGATTGTGGGGAGGACATTTGAAAACAAAGACCCATATTGATTGGTCCATTGTTATGTCAATCATAATATACCATGCTTGTGATTAGTCAACATGGTCAATAGTGCTCAGCCAATAACATGCTTTCTTGATTATCCAATCAATCTTTTAGGCACGTGGCTTAAGTTGAAACACTGGTTTAACTTTGTTAATGCTCTCGGATGAAAATCAATTGTTCAATATTTTGTTGTTTGATTTGTAATTACATTTCACTTGCACATAAATGGAATAATAATGGTCCATAGACGTAATGGCTCCTGCAGGAATGAATGTGTAAAAACAAGCACCTGCTGTGGTACCGTCACTGTTCCCACCACCCGAGGTGTTGACAATGTGTTGGATGGCTTTATACAACTGTTATAATACTCACACATCCTTATTACAAATGTTCAACATGTGATATCTAACTGCCATGTGAAGCAGTGAGAACACTCTCAATGAGCAGGTGATCATTCAGAATTGAGCAGCAGAAAAAAAACCACTGATTCTTTTCAAAAAGACAAAAAGAGTTATATTTATCTTAATGGGGTTGTAGGCTAGCCAAGCAGTTAAAGTGTTCATTCATCAGGCCTGTGTTCCATTCCTTAACTCTCATGTGCCTCCTTCTGGCATCTTATCTTAATGTGCATGATAAGAATGCATATTTTTTTAATCTATTTTATTTTAATCTTGCTTCCTGCCTCTTGGCCAAGAAATTTTGCAAAATTGGACATTAACCAGGACTGGCCTAATTACAGAATAAAATCCTTGAAAATAACAAAATAAGAGTAATATACAATCATAAACTAAAAACAGCTTTCCCATTAGTAATGAAATGATTTAAACTTTTTTTTATCAATCAAGAATTCTATTGTACAAAACATCACATCGGGCAGAATATAGACGCTACAGTAGAACACGGATATAACAAACTACAAGGGACCAGAGAAATCGGTTCGTTATATCCGTTGTTCGTTATACATGTTTTCGCTCGGAAAAGTCCGCCATCTTGGATAAGACAAAACACAATACACGTAATTGCAGTGTTACATGTGAAATCTTCATGGCCTAGTTCAGCTTTGGTCTGCAGTAACGAACCACTAAGTGGAATGTTTTCGCTTCTCATGGCTTGAAACCATTTGAAGAGGGCGTCCTCTACGTCTTGGTGATTGGGAGCCCGTAGCCTCTTCCGGGCAGGGTCAAAGTCAGTCGAGTCGCAGGATTCAAGAATGGATTCTCTCTTCTTCATAATGGTACTTAATGTTGATTATGGAATGTCAAATTCTATTGCAATGTCTTTCAACAGCATAAATAATTCTCAATTTCATAAAATTTATATGTTTAATGTTTGTTTTGCAGACAAGATTACATGTACAGGTAAGATTAACACAATGCAAATTTAACAAGGTTGATCCATCACCGCTGATTATATTGATTCGCCGCTAATTGCGTACAGCCAATTGTCAGTGACACTTGACACTGAGTGAGATTTCTCAGTTCGCTATACACGTCACTAATTAGTGATAGATGGGCTTGTCGGTGATCAGATATCAGTTCGCTGTATCCATTAGTTCGCTGTAGAGAGTTCGTTATATGCATACATTTTATATGAAATTATAAAGGAGATAAATCGGTGATTTTTTAACAGTTCGTTGTATCCGTTCGTTTGCTATATCCGTGTTCGTTATATCCGTGTTCTACTGTACTTATCTCTAAAATTATAATTTAAAAAAAAAAAAAACGGTTGTTAAATTATGTAATAAAAAGGAGCCCATAGACTAGCTCTCTTCATTTTCAGAGTCCCTAAAACTGCAGTAATCTAGACTTGCTAACTATTATAGACTTGCATGGGCTGTATTGGCCATATTTGTGTCAGGGTCTGTATGACAGACTTGGCAGAGTACAACCCAGATACAGTTGGGAGTAAATATAACAGTAAACATAAACGGTTGATAAACATATAATGTACATTATGAATAGAGATATAATATATTATCATTATTATACATGATACATAAAGGTTCATATATATAAATAGTGATCGATGACAAACACATCATGAAATACAGTGGTGGTAAGTCACAATATTTATATTTAGATAAACTTATGTCGTTGTCTAAAAGATAGGTTTTTAATAAACATGTCAGAGAGAATATTTTGCCTTTTTCAAAGCAAGGACTTAAGACAGTTGCAGAAGTGTCTGAAGACATACTTTCTGTACTACAGATTGGACAGGCAGAAGACAGAGTGGGGTGATGGGCCATCTCTGTACACACTGTAACACTTGGACATTAATATCTCGTAAGATGTACAATATAGGTCTGGAGTAAGATAAAATGTCTATGCAAATAAATCCACTGTAGAACAAACAATCTATCACACACGAAATCTGAGTCCAATGCCCTACATTCTCAGACCAGGGCTGACCAACTGACCAGCCCTCTGGGTTACTGAAACCATGTCAGGAGAGGCCCTGTATGGGTAGTTTTTATCCACATCGAGTTCTTGTGAGTTCAATGCTGCTTTAAAAAGTATTTCAGTTATGTCATGGTGTGTCAGCTGGTTGTAGGAGGAGAGGCCAAAGTGATGCAGGTTTTAAATGTTTACCACTTTGGTGAAACCCCCAAACAAGGTATGGTACAAAAAAACTAGAAAACGTATTAAGGTGAATCAGGGATTTTTGACCTTATGATGTCAACCTTGTCTGAATTGTGTTTGACAGCAACAGCCTGTAAATGATGTTTTATGTCACAGCCAGCAAAATCACAGCATTGTCACAGAAATATCACAGAAGTCGGTCAATAACCTGGGCCAGACAAACCAGTGATTGACAGCAAGAGCAACAATCTACTCCGACATGGTACATTTACAAACAACCAGCTGGGGCCAACTTGCTGAAAGAGATCTTAGCGGTATGATTGTCATAAGTCTATGTTATAGTATGGGAATTACAATTGTCGTAGCGTTAAGATCACCTTGTCTAGTAAGTGAACTCAACGAAGTCACATCCTGATTCACTGGTCCTAGTTTCTATAAACTCTTAAGACTAGAGCACTGGGGGGTATCCCGGCCCGGAATCCTGTGTTTCCTAAAAGGGGATGCTGAACATATACAACTCAAAAGAAGTTAAAGAACATTTGATGACATGGCATTACATATTAACTGTAGTAATTTGAAAGATTCAGGTGTTCTTTAACTTCTTTTGAGTAGTTTATGAGGTCCCTGTGCTGATCGTACATGAAAATACAGCCTCCCAAGTAATTCCTTACAGGAGGCTATGTTCTACTGTCTGAAACTCATTTCAAGTCCAGGGCCCACTTGCACAACGCGATCTTAGCGCTAAGACTATCGTAAGCCTATGTTAAAGTATGGGAGTTACGATCATCTTAGAGCTAAGATCGCGTTGTGCAAGTGGGTCCAGGGCTCGTTCCACAAAGTGGTTTTAGTGCTACGATTGTTGTATGTCTATGATAATGTATAGGAGTAACGATAATATTAGCACTAAGATCGCTCTGGTCTAATGTAAAGACTACCATGTATGTAACTGAGACACTGTTACTGTGTACTTAGGGTATTCATCATCTAGTAGACTGAATGCATTGGTTCAATTACTTCCATCAAACTTACCAGGACTGCCAATTTGACGGAGACTAGCACCCCTTTAAAGTTTTAACGATACCGAAGAAATGTTGGAACCCATTTTGGGCCTCTCCAGTCTCTTTCATTGTCTTCAGGTGATGTAAATGTAAAGTAAGTCAGAATGCCACAACTTGATTTATTTCAAAGTGACTTCAATCCCGTTGGCGGAATGATTCAAGGTTTTAGATGTTGTTAGGGGAGTAGGTCATTATTATATGATAACAGCTCCACCATTAAAGGAGTGTTGGGTTGCGGTGAATCAACACTATCAGTTAATAATGTATCGTGTACTATGGAGATGGGTATCCTCTTCTCTGATTATATCTCAGGGTGACTTCATCTTATTACACATCCTTATAATCATGATAATCATAACGACAGGCGCGATAACTCAAATACTTGACACATCTTCGATAAGTGACCTTGATCTTAAATTTGACAAGTAATTTGTAATTTGATATGATTAATGTATCTTTTATCGACTGCACTTAATAGAACAACATATTCAGCTGTTTTGTTGAATTTATCAACGTATTAAAAAGGAAAATATGTGATGATGGAATACAATATCATAATCCCATGATTACATATCATATAATGCAACTTACAGCATGAGTCATAAAGTCGTAACATCAGGAACTATTTGTTGCGAATAACATTGTTCTGTGACGAAAGTGCAAATTCAAAATCAGAGAATTAAAAGCATGATCTGTTAAGGTCTTCAGTTCATAGTGAACTTCATGCAGTTTCATCTTGATCATTATCTAAACTGATATATATATATATACTGAATAATGAACCAGTTGTGTACTAATTTCTGTAGAAAACACTGCTGCCACCCCGTTGAGTGTGCCCAACCATTTTCACTTCTAAGTTGACACGGGTGGCCCAGTCGTCGTCGGCACAATTTGCTGTGTAGAAGTGCGACCCTAAGGCATGCCAGAAACCTATGATCGTGGGTTCAAATCCCGGTTCGGGCTGATTGTGTTTCTAGGTTTGTCAGCACCATTCCTGTGCAAATGGTTTCACCAGAGTGGTAAACGTCTGAGACCTACATCACTTGAGGCTTTCCTCCCACAATAAGCTGACATGCCATAAGATATCTAAAATATTGTTCAAAGTGAACAAGAAACCGAACTCACTCACTTTAACCAACTTCTACAGCAGGTTCGGTGGACTGTGCCATATCTTGAGTAAAGTGGATACATTCCCATAACAATACAACAATATGCTTCCAAATATTTTCCTAAGCGATGCCAATTTATACCACATGTTAGACATGGACAACTTACCTGCAAACTAGATGATCAAAGCCATACTTCCAGTTCTCCATTACATTCAGGTATCCAACTCTTCGACCTGGCAAACACTATGTGAACCATAGAATGTGCAACTGCAGACAAAAGTGCACCTGCGCCCCAAGGGACCTCCAATGGAGGGACCCTTTGTTGTTTTACTTGGTGTTTTTCTTTCTGATTACAACCAGATGGTTCCCATCAATTCCTCAGTTCCTGGGAGTGGTTAATTCCTCAATACACAATGGCAGCTGGTCTGGTCTTTCTGTAATACAAAGTTACACTGACATTAAACAATGTTGCCATACATGGATGTGAGAGGTGATATTGTGCAGTATTACACATGGGTTAGGAAGCAACAAATCTATTCTTCTGCTAATTCTGTATACAACCATTTTTCATGATCTACTTTATTTCTTATTTATGTAAAAACATTGTATAATGAAGTGGGGTATATCACACTAATAACACAAAAATCAGGTGTAAAATGTTAAATGTAATTCCAGTCACACAACTGACCCTAAATTTACTGACATGTTACCAAATACTTTTAAATACAACTTTCAATCAACATTTCACATGGAATTTCTGTATTAAGAGTTGTGAAACAATGCAGGTGTTGAAAATTCTTTCTGAAGGCCTCTGGTCTCCCGGATCTCTTAAAATAAATAAAGGTCTGAAAAGGAATTTTCTCTGGTCCCACTAATTTCTTTCCTTAAATATTAACTTTGTTAAAGTCATAAAAAATAACAACTGATCATTGTTCAACACCTGTTTAATGTTTGGCATGGTTTTTGTCTTTCATTGACACAGTATTTTTTATTTTTCTTGGGGTTGAACAATGAGTTTGTATGACTACCCACATTACTTCATTTGAAACCAAATCGAAACAGAGTAGACATGTTGCTTGTTGATCTCTAATGTTTGACTGCCAACCTTGTCTTCCGAGTATGGGGTGGGTGGGAAATGTTTGACCATGATGAACAGCATGTACCGATACTTGAATACTGACCGGAGGCTTCGTCAAAATATCGGATTATCAAAATTTCTGATTGACCAATTTCAGTAACAGTACCAAATAAAAACAGCTCCATATTTCAAACACTTCATTTCAGCGTAATTTTGATGGTCAAACCAAATGCAGACATTTCTTTGCAACACCAGTGAATGAAATGGGCTGGTCGATCAGACTTTTTATGAATAAATTATTTAGTCCCATTAATAAATGCACCGGTTCAGTGACCATGGACCTGTGCATTTTTTAATAATATATCTCCCAACCCAATGTTAAAATCATATACCTGGAACACATAATCAAATTTGTGTTTTTCATCTCAACTTTCAGTCAGAGTTGAACACCTGCCAGGACATGTTATGAATATAGTTTTCAGTCTTCATCATCAATCAACAAAAAAGAATTATTAAAAATTGTCCTGGGTCACCTCACGTATGACCAAACAATTCCAACAGGAAATCAATGTTAAAAAACATCTGATGCTGGAGCAGGCAGAGATATGATCTGTGTATACATCATAGTGAGAGCCATGGGGGGTTCCGAGGTTCCGCCTTTTTAAAATTACACACACACACACCTGTCTTTGAATTTTCCACCCAAAATAATACATATATTACAACATATTCATTTTTGCCTGGTCATAAAAAAATCAGTCCTAAGGGGGAATATAGTTTCTTTTGAAAAGTTTTCGGTCTTTCATATTTTATTATTGGGGTCAGAGATGGCTCAGTCACGTATGAAGCTGCAATTTGCTCTGCAGAGCTGCATCCATTTATTTATTTCCTTCTTGTTTGTCAGCACCATACACATGTAATGTGCATGTAGGTTTCACCTAAGAGGTAAACATCTAAGACCCTGCATCAATTTCGGGTTTTCCTCACATCTTAAACTCAATGACACACTCACTGAGACAGAGCTCCAGATAAGCTGCGTATCTGCGTAAAATACGCATCAGAAATGCAGAAATACGCAGTAAAATCAAATCAAAGTGTATCAAATACGCACCGAACATTACAGATACGCTACAAAATAAAACTTGTGCGTATCATCAAAATATTGTGAAGTAACCCTGCGTATTCGATTAGCAAATCAGCAACTTATTTTGAAATTATAAACGGGCATTCCGTCAACCTTGCCAACGTCCACGATGACAGTTACATCATGATCATTTGCCATCACACTTTCTTGTGGAAGTATTGTGGTATTTTGAGTCCTATAAAGCTCTCGAACCCACACGAAACTAGTTTGCAGGGCCTAGATGAATAGTGTTTTTAAATATTTAACTTAAATACCCACATGTGTAAAAACTAGTGCGTAACAGAAATTTGAATACCCAGATAGAATTACTGATACCCAATGATTTAAAATGCATGGGTAAAATACCCACAACACCAAAAGCTTATCTGGAGCTCTGCTGAGATGATATACACTTTGTCGTGGCCTCATCGCACCTGCCTTCATACAGGCTGACAGCCTTATAGGAGAGGGGTTGATACCTCTTGATACAGATCTGTGTGGGCCATGGCAGAACTCTGTCTGAGGACAACCAGCACCAAGGAGTGACAAATTCTAATTTCCTGTTTCAGAACTTTGAAGTGTCAAGCTGCCCACAGCAAGTGGATCTGTCTGTTTGGAAGCTAGATTAGAGAGTTGATCACACATGAAACTTCAGGAAAGAGCTTCTGAAGTAATGTAATCATATTTCAAAGAACTGAAACAGGACAGAAACTGTGGCTCATCCAGGCTTGGACTATTCGATGTTCTGAGGTCTGGTACCTATTTACGACATGAAATCGTCTGTGTAATTTCGGTAAATTGCTAAAATATACAATATAAAATTTGAAGTAGCACAAACTAGAAGTAGTCTAACCGAAACCGAGTACCCAAGTTACCCATCACAGCCCTAACCAGCAGTGATGTTTCAGGGATCTGAACCCAATTTGCTAGGACTGCCACATTGCTTGAGTCTAGTCCCCCTTTAAAACAGGGAAGTTCAACAGTATCTTTAGGCTTAAAAAAAAAAAGAAGAAGAAAGTTTCTCAGGCACTTGTGCGCCAATATAAATCCTGTGTTTCAGTCAGTTTTATTGCCAATAAAAAAAATTATTTTTCAAATTTCAAACATGAAGCTTATGCTGTTGTTCACATAAATGACATGCTTGACAACAAATGTTGTATTAAAGAAAAGTTAAATGTGTCCTCAGATTTGTTTTTCATATTCTTAGTGGGAATATCCACATGAGGACTTGAACCCAGACCTAGATCATTTCCAGCTAACACACTGTCCACTGTGCCACAAACTCATTCAAATGCCTACCATGTTTCAAATAAGGCTTACATGTATGAAAACAACTTTAACCTTTGTGCTTTTGACTTTCTTTCCCAGTTTAGAACAGTTTAACTTTGTAAATGCCATGACAAGGCAGGGACCATTATCACATCAGTGACCTCTGTGGTATGGATGTTTTATAGCTCGGCCAGGATGTATATAATTCTGTCAGGATAATGGTCATTGCTTTGAAACATTACCATTTTTTTTAGACAATAATTTTTTTCGTAATCACATAAAATCAATTTTAATTTGTGAGAATTGAATGCAACGCCTATCCAATTTCATCCCATAAACAGTTAAATTTCAATTAGACTAATGCTTTATGGGAAAATTATGACCACTTACGTCCTTGTCAAGGTCTTGACAGTTTTATTTGATGGTTATATATGTCCATTGCAACACAAACTATCTGATATGTCACACGGGGGTTCCTATTAAAGCTGGTATATGCATAATGGATTTCATTCATTTACTCAATGCTCCATGAAAAAGACTACAATTCCTACAAGCTGATATATCTAAAAACATTTACATGTATTAAATTATCATGGCCCTTTCTTCTTTCTCTCCCTCTCCTTTTATAAAAATTATAAATAGAAATATGTTCTATATCCAACAAAACCATTACAACTTGCTTATAAATAAAAATGCAATGTTTATTTCTAACACAGCATTTCAATTGATCAATTCGTCACATTGAATGAGTAGAATGAGTTAAAAGCAGCATTAAACCCAACTCACTCACTCACTCACTCCTTTAAGGGGCAATATTAACATTTCTGAGTTCTATCTTTCTCTGGTAATGAGTGAGTTTAATCAACGATCCTGATGTCAAATGACCCACGGGTTTGGCTGATTTTATATGGTGATACCTGTACAAAGTAGGGTTAATTGGGACAATTTCTGGGGCCATAATGTCCATGCCTTGGACTGTCTTCATTGCATAGATTTGTTGCTTGTCTTTGAAAGCATTTAGAAGTGATACACATGAGAAAGAGAATTTATGGATGTCAACGTCTTTATTGTGAGGAACACAACGTTTTGGAGTATATGCTTACTCCTTCATCAGGTGAATCATATACTCTGAAACGTTATGTTCCTCATAATGTAGAAGATGACATCCATAAATTCTCTTCCTTATTTGTTTCTTGTTTAAACAAGCTGTCAGTAATATTCCAGGTATATGAAATATTTGAGTCAGGACCAGACAATCCAGTGATTATGAGTATAGATCCAACCTGTTATACTACGATGGCACTGGGCCTGACTGTCCAAAATAGGTTGTTGGGGACCTATTTTAACTTAATCCCTTATTTAGCTGTGACCTCTGAGTTCAAAACTTAAATTGTGTTGCACCATGCTGATCTGATCAACAAAAGCAATATGCATATCTGATAACCCCTGGGTATTCCGTATAAGAATAGGTCCCCAGTAACCTATGCTGGTTTTGTCCTGGGGATTCAGCGTTAGAATAGGTCCCCAGTAACCTATGCTTGTCTCCTCCTGGAATCTAGCTTAGAATAGGTCTCCAGAAACCTATGCTTGTCTCCCTGTGGGGATTTCTGGGTTAGAATAGGTCCCCCAGCAAACTATGCTTGTCTTCTCATGGGGATAACCCCCGGCAGGATTTCAGGTTAGAATAGGTCCCCAGAAACGTATGCTTGTCTCCCTGTGGGGATTTCTGGGTTAGAATAGGTCCCCCAGCAAACTATGCTTGTCTCGTCCTGGGGATTCGACATTAAAATAGGTCCCAGAAACCTATGCTTGTCTCCCTGTGGGGATTCCAGGTTAAAATAGGTCTCCAGAAACCTATGCTTGTCTCCCTGTGGGGATTCCTGGTTAAAATAGGTCTCCAGAAACCTATGCTTGTCTCCCTGTGGGGATTCCAGGTTAAAATAGGTCTCCAGAAACCTATGCTT